ATAGAGGTTACAATTAGCTGTGTAGAATTCACATTTAGGTAATGTTTGACAGAGCATTTTGGCCACAATGCATTCACCTGTTTGAAATAAATTGTTAACTTAATACTCACACACAATATTGAAGATAATAGTTAGAACACTAGGAGTTAGAAAAACAGGATATAAGAAAAGATCACATAGGAACATATGATTAACTTGCAACATTATGATAGTATATATTGAAATCAGATAATAAAAAGAATGTTGTGATCATATTTACATCCTTTCCTTTCCCTCACAATAAAGCAATTATTGTAACTAGTAAGCATAAGTAGTCTTAACAGAATATGGTAGAAGAATCATTAAATGTAGATGTTTAACTATAGAACTAAAAGTTTCTGATGTATTTCAAAGAAACTGTGATTACGCACATCCCCTGACTATTGTTGTAAAGAAAATAATTACTGATTTTCTGAAACTAGCATTGATTAAACACTTATGTAAGTAGTAAAATGATATAAAAACTGTGGTCTTAGAGCAATAAAGAGAGACATTTTTGGACGGAAAAAGAGTCTCCGTGAATTCATTCACCGAATTATTTCCCACCAACAAAGACACCCGTTAGGTCTCACCCCCTCCACTGTAGTGGTCGGTAGCAACTTACCTAACTTCTTCCTTATTTTTCTCTATCCCTCTGTGGAGCATTTGGATGCACCTCTATATCATTCTCCTGAATTCCTTCTCAGGCAGTTCCAAAGTCTGCTCTTCTTCCAATGGGATGTCTGGGTCTACCTCTAGCTCATTTTTATCAGTTGCTCTTTTTTTGCTTCTGAACATAGTTTGTTGTTTCTTGGACATTTTCAATAATTAGACGAATGTATGTTACTGTATTATTAAGCTTACTGAGTGCCTCCTGGTAGATGTGATCAAGAGATAGGCTTCCATTTTTCACATCTCTTATTACTCAACTGTAAGTAAATTTAGAAAATGTTGGCTATCTATGTAATGTATAGTAGCTGGTATTGACTCTTGCCTGGATGGTGGGATATTATAGGATACGCTTGTAGCTTGGCTATATATCTACAATTGCTGTCTCTCCTTGGGTAAGGTAGGGAGAGAAAGCTCCCACCACAAGGGAAAAAAGAAGGACCAAAAAGACAAAAAAACAAAACAACCATAGCAAACCAGTCCAGTAAGCTTTGCTGAGCAGATCAGTGTGCATGCACTGTAGAAACTTCCAGGGCTTGGTGGGAGTGTTCTCTCACTCAGATACCCCCTCTAGTCACAGAGTGGAGGTGCTCAGACAGAGAATGAGAAATTAGTGGAAGAAAGATAATTCACAATTTTATCTCTGATGATCTGTCAGGTCTCTGCTTACCCGCAGCGTCCTTCTCAGGATGGCTGCACCCTTCTCCCTTTAGTGTGTTTTTAACAGGTGTTGGCTTTACACACTGTTCTTGCATATAGTAGCTGGTATCGGCTCTTGCCTTTCATGTTGGGGTTTTATAGGGTGCAAATACAGTTTGGCTGTATGGCCAGAGCTGCTTTCCCTTGTTGGGTAAGGCAAGGATAAAAACTCCTGCCCAAGTAGGACAGCCAACTTCAGGGCTAAATCCCAAAGTTAGATGTCCTAAGAATCCACCAGAGGATTAGCCTCTGGAACCGACTGGGACTTTCAGCTACTTCCTCTTTGCACTCGGGAAAAATTGTCCCCTGTGGGCACAATGCTGGACCCTTTTGGGGGTGCACTCCCACCCGTGTGAAGACACCAGGGCTAGGCAGAGAGAGGAGAACACAAGAGTGGAAGAAAAAGACAAAACAGAAATTCACACCTCTTTTTCCGTAAGTTGCGGAGTGGTGTTTGTGCTGTAGCAGGCTGGTTGTAGCCCCGTCCTCTGACCTTCACTAAGACCACAAGCTGTCAGCAGTGTTCCGATTGATTCAGAAATCGCTCAGTTTACTATTGCCTCTTCAGATTTCTCCACCTGTAGGCCCCAAAACGATTTCCTCTTAGTTTATATTAAATTTAACGCTCCGGGACTGTCCCGACAAAGCGTTTTTCTGTGCCTCCACCGAAAAGTCCCTTTGTTTATCCCAGTCCCACTATGACAGGTTCTTGATGAGTTCCCCAAATCCTGATGCCACATTCTTCTTCACATAACCCATCAAGGTGAAGACACTATAGCCAATAATACCAGTCATTCAGTCCATCCCTAGGTAACTGAGGGTCCTGGAGATACAACCACATCAGTTAAGTCTTTTTAGTGGTATTAATTGAAGAGAAATGAGTGCCCTTTGAAGAGTTTTTAAGATTGAGCCACAAAAAAAGAAGTCAGAAGTGGTCACATTATGAGTATAAGGGGCTGCCCAATGACTTCCCACTGAGCTCTCACAAAGGTGCCCTTGTCTGATGAGGGGCAGGAACACAGCATGGTAGTGGACACAGACTCTGTGGAGAAGTGTTCCCAGATGGTTTTCTGCTAAAGCTTTGGCCAACGTTCTCAAAGCACTTTCATCGTGAGCAGATGTTACTGTTCTGTGTCCTTCAGACACTCTATAAGCAAAACAGCCTGAGCATCTCAAAAACCTGATTCCATGTCGTTCAGATTCCAGGAAGGTGGACACCATGGGTCACCTGTGGTGCACAACAGCTGCCAGCAGAGCTTCAAGAGCACCTCGTCCTCACAGCTCCCTCCCCACACGGAATGGCAGGGGTGTCCTTTCTCTGGCTCAGAGCCTGCTGACCAGGAAGGAGGGAGGAGGAAGGCGAGAGGGGGAGGGGACTGTTGGGCACACAGTGTACACTGGCACCTTGCTGGAGAATTTACACACACACATACGCACACACATCAGGTCCTCTCAGCTGCTCGCAGGCCTGAACGTCTTCCTGTGTTCTTAGAAGACAAGATTTCGGGGGCGTACTCTCAGCTTCAGGTCTTCTCTCTTCTGGTCCATGCGTGTTTCTCTACTTGGTTCCACAAAGGACTGAGGGTCTAGGTGCTGTTCCCCATACCACAGCAAGCTCCATGACCACCCCAATACCCACCACCCACATGGAGGCAGTTGAACAACCAAACATTTGGCTCTGGATGAAACGCCCTAAAAGACAATCGCAATATGCCCCTCAGAGCTCATACCACACTCAGAATGACATCATTGTCCTTCCCCTGACCCAGCCCCGCTGACCAGTTCTGCCTCCTGGACAAGCCCATTAGCGCCTTTCCAAGTCTTCTGCCAGGCTCCTGCCCCAGTTCTTCTGCCAAGCCACTCTTGCTGGGCACTACCAGGAAACAAAGGACAAGTGTCTGAGTTTTCCACTTAAACAACATTCCCAGAACCCCAAAGACTTCTTGGAGTTTCCCTCCAACCAGGAGTCTCAGTGACCCAGGATCGGGGACCCCACAGCCCTGTGGGCAGGGGGACTTTGGGAGCAGCACCCAGGGCACCAAGGTCTCTGCAGTTACCTGGAGTGTGCATAGCAGAGGGCCATGGATGCCTTGGAAGTGTGGAGAAAGCTCTGGGCAAGGAGCATAGGGTCGATCACACACACATGTGCATGCACACACACAGGCACACACAGTGGACATGCTCACACACACATGCACAGAGGCACACACATGCACACAGGCACACACTATCCACACACACATGCACACACAGTGCACACATGCAAACACGTCCATGTTCACACATGCACACACACCAGCACAGGGTCTATGGACACACATGTGTGTGTACACCCACATAAGCACAGGTACATGTGCACACACAAGCGCATGGACTATGGACATGCAGTGCACACGTGCACGCATGCACATGCAGTACACACACATGCACACGTGTAGAACACACATGCAAACACATTCACACACACACACACACCAGCACGTGGACTATGGACACACATGCGTGTGCACACACTCACATGAGCACAGAGACACGTGCACACACAGGCACATGCATCACAGGCTGTCACTGATATGGCCCTCACCTGCCTTGATCTGGCCCTGGACACAGCTGTGCCCCTGCAGGACAGTGCTCTGACATGTCCTTGTCCAAGAGCCTTATCAGGAGGTGCCCCGACACTGGCGGTCAGCCTGGAGCAGACCCCGCACCCCTCCCACCTGTGACTACCAGGAACTGACCAGATCTGGGGACACAGAGAACTTCCTGTTCAGACAAGGAGGGAAGAAGCTGGTATTGTCCTCACTGAGGAAGACCCGAGGGCGATGGATCTGAGATTCACAGAACCCATGGCAGACAGACAGGCCCTGGGTTCGGGGACCTCTCTGCCCTCCTATATAAGGCCCAGGGAACACTGCCTAGGTCATCTCGCTCTCCACAGCTCAGAAGCACACCTCTGCTGCCACCATGAAGTGTCTCCTGCTCGCCCTGGGCCTGGCCCTTGTCTGCAGCATCCATGCCATCTACCCAGCCAAGAGAAACGTGGATGTGCAGAAGGTTAGAGGACAGCTGTCCCATGGGGGTGCAGGATGGGTGGGAGCTGGGGCTCAGAGGATCATGAGATATGGGAGACCTTGCCCCAACCTTTAGGAAACCTTCCCAGCTCCAAGCCCTGACTCCCCAAGATCCAAATCTCTAGTCTCTCCTGGTGAAGAGCTCAGCTGGCTCCTCCCTCAGGTTCAGAGGGAGAGTTTTCTAGAATATTCCTTGGGTCAATGAGAAGGGAGTTCCCTATGATGGGGTCAGTGTCTGCTCCTCAGTCTCAGCCCCAGTCCAGTGTTTGCGGGTTGAGATCTCTGTGCTTCACTAGATGGGGTGGGGAGAGCACACTGTGGGGGTGGGAAAGACCCCTCCTGTCTCCCACGGGAGCCCCTCACAGCCCTCACCTCAGCTGGCAGGAGCCTGGAAGACTGTGATGATGGTCACCAACAACCGGGCCCTCCTAGAGAAGGAAGATGCCCCTCTGAGAATGTCCGTCAAGGAGGTGCAGCCCACCCCCAAAGGCAACATGGAGATCTTCCTGGTCAACAGGTGAGTTTGCCCGTGGGCCTCAGCCAAGGGACTGGGTGCAGAGTGACTCAGCCTCCCTGGGGACAGTTCCTAGTGAGACCTGGCTCCAGGTGTGCATGGAACAGAAGTGCTCTTGTCAGCCAGGGCCAGGTGTGCTGGGAGGGGGATGGGGTCTCAGGAGGTTCCTTTTCCCACCATTCTAGCCCAAGGGCTAGACAGTCCAGAACTGCCAGGGACCATCTACGTACTGATAAGTGGGAGGCAGGGCTGGGCACCACAGTTGAAGCAGTGATGTCCTGGGCAGTGGGCATTTATGAGATGCTGCATGATGAGAAACTTTTGGAAATGAGTGATTGTACAACACGGTGAACATAATTAATGTCACTGAAGTAAAATGGTTTAAAAGGCACCTTTTTGGTGTGCATATTTCACTACAATTCTTTAAGTGGACTTGGGGCCCAGGGCTCACAGACTAATTGACTTTCAGGGAGAACAACAGATGTGTGGAGAAGAAGATCGTTGCCCAGAAAACCGAGATCCCTGCTGAGTTCAGTACCAAATGTGAGTGCACAGGACCATGGGCGGGACAGGGTGGGCATCGTCAGTGGATGTCCACACTGTGCTGGTGTGAGCCCTAGTCTAGCAGTAACCTACATCAGGGAGAGGTCCTGACAGTGCCGTTTCCTTGGAACTCTAAAAAGATGATTCTAATGTACAATGAGGTGGGTCCCACTGGTCACAGACAACAAAGTTCCTGCTCACTCAGCTCTAATCCCTGAAATCTAATCTACAACTACCCCTCCATCTCTCCACCATCAAATGTATCACACAATTCTCACTCTTTGTTTTGTTGCTTGGCATTCATGCATCTCCCAGAGATCTGCATGAAACTCCATTTCTGAATCACAATATGCAAGGGACTCACCTAAAGTAATCACTTGGGATGTTGGACGGATGGATGGTACTTAGACAGGTGAGTGGAAGATGGTTAGTTGGGTGATTGGATGGTTGAATTAGTAGATGAATGGATGGGTGGATGGGGAAGTAAGTGGAGGAACAAATGGGTGGATAAATGGATTAGTGAATATATGGATGGGTACAAGAAGAATGAATGGAAGAATGAGTGGATGGATGGATAAGTGGATGATGGGTGGATGGATGAGTAGATGGATGGATGCAGGGATGGATACATGGATAACTTGGTAGATAGATGAGTGGAGGGATAGATGAACAAAGAATGAGTGAATACATGGGTGAATGGACAGGTTAAGAATGAGTGGATGGATGGCTGACTAAAGGAAAACATGACTAAATGGATAGATAGAAGGAAGAATGCAGGAATGGATAAGTAGATGAAGGAAGAGTGGATGGATGAATGAAGGATCAGTGGGTGTATGTATAGACACTGGATAGATGGATGAAGGATCCATGGTTGAATGGATAGATGATGGAAGAGTGGATAGATGGATGGAAGAATGGAAGGAAAGATGGATGAATGAACAGATAAAAGAATAAGTGAAGTAATTCCTCATCTGGGAGACAGAGGAAAATATCTGACAGAGTCACAGAAACTACTGAGGACTTCCCGAAACCCATCACTGCTTTGCTATCCACCTGTAAATCTTGAGGGGCCATTGAAGGAAAAAGATACCACAGTTTTGTGTCCAGGTGTGGAAGCCTTAAAATAAGTGCCCCATGAAGTCGAGGCATGGCATCTGTGCACCATTGAGAAGGTGGGGAGGAACAGTTAAGAGGGCAGCAAGACTGAGGACAAAGCCACGGCTTACCCGGTGGCCACAGCAGTTTCCAGATCCTTGTACGAGAAGATCTGACCAGCACGCATCTCCTGTGTGAACTGAGAATTCAGAACTTAGGTCTGTCCCTGTCCTGGTTTCTTTTCCAGACCTGGATGAAAACAAGATGGTTGTGATAGACACCGACTACTCAAACTTCCTGGTCTTCTGCCTGGAGAGCACCATCGCCCCCAAGCAGAACGTGGTGTGCCAGTGTCTGGGTACGGATCTCAGGGTCCCAGCTCTGTGGGCAGTGGGCGTGGAGGGAGGTCTGGCACTGTAGACGGCAGGCAGCACTCCTGAACCCTTGACCTGTGGAGCTTGTGGAGGAGAGGGAGGGAGAACATCTGTCCAGTGTCCCCTCAGGGAACTCTGGGTGCTGGTGTTGTCTCAGACAGGAAGGGAACTCATAGGCAGTGGGTGTGGGTGCAGGCCTCTTGGGGACATCCCAGATATGGAAGGGAGCAGAGCTGAGGCTGAGGTGGGCTGTGGAGAGGACGTTCCAAGAAAGTCACTTGCTAGTTCATCATTGGATAATCATAGTCAGAAACACCAAACCTATCGTCATCAAGTTGATTCTGACTCATGGTGACATCGTGTATGCAGAGTGGAACTGCTCCTCAAGGTTTCCAAGGCTGTGACCTTCCTTCCAGGCTGGGTGCGAACCAACAGACTTTCAGTTAGTAGTGTAGAACTACGGTTAGTGTGTACCACCCAGGGACATTCTTAGTCAACAGGATCATAGAAATACAACCAAGCTTGTTCATGGGGATTTTACATTTCACCCAGTGGAAATCAGATATGAAGATGTCTTTCCAACTGTACTGTTGTGAAAACAAATACAAGCTGGCCTTCCCCATTGTCCCAGTAGACATGCTATTGGATATTCCCAGTTTCCTCAGTTAACCATGGGACCTGGGCTGGCAGGGACATTCCCAGGCCTGTCAGTCAGCTCCACGGGCCATGTGGTGAGATAGGATGTTGGGAAGAGGTGGCCTGTGTCCTTCCTCCTGTGACTGTGGACACCACTGGAAGATGAGGGGCCAGAGTGGGGATGGGGACAGAGAGGGTGGCCTGGTGGGCAGGTGGGCTGTGCAGTCATGGCACCACCATTAGGGGACTGTCCTGGACCAAACTCAGCTTCAGGAACGTGGCCACTACCAGGGACTGACCCTCCTCCCCCCACAGCCAGGACCCAGAATGCCGACGCCAAGGTCGTAGAGAAGTGCAACCAGGTCCTCAAGTCCCTGCACCTGCAGAACCAGTTCACCCTGGACTTCACCCAGAAGGAAGGTCAGTGCCCGAGCCGTGACCCTCGGTCCTGGTTTAATTCATTAGCTCCTCACTGAGAAAGTAACGGGGAACCAATTCCCTGATGGCGTTTTCCCCTGAAGAACCATCTTTCTCCTGGGTCTCCTGCTTCCCTGTGCACCACGAGGCCCCTGGGTAGTGGGTGGGCGCCCCTGGGTCGTAAGTTTTGGGCCCCTGTATAGTA